TTGAATTGGTTTTAAAATATCAAACTTGAAATTTCAGTTCATTTTTACGTTCAAACAAGTGTTTTATATGGAAACATTTTTTTGTAAAATAAAGGAAAAGTAAACAAGTTCTTTTTAAAAGTGACTTTGCTGTATGGATAATTATTCTAAGTGTTTTTAATTGCCTTCCAAATGTAAAAAATGTGAAATATGACAAAGTATATTTTTATAATATGTCGGATATAGTGACTGAAATGAAAAAAAGCCAGACTTGTCCTTGTATGTTACAGTATCAGTATTTAATGTCTGTATTCCAACTGTTTGGGCTGTGTTTTTAATAAACAGTTTTACTCCTTTCCCATCATTGTTATACGATTGCTCGAAAAGCTGTGTGTGGAGACAAACTGGCTGAAGGAATCAAATGGGGAAAAAGACAGGAAGTGCCATATTAGTCAAACCATTCCCAGCTTTTCTTTTTTCTCAACAAGCTGCAGCAAAACTCCTCACTAACCCATTCAAACCTGGAAAATTCAGATGTGAAAAGCTGAAAGTATTTGGATTTGGATTCATAAAGTCTTTCTCATGTATCATAGCAGCCATTTGCCTCTGAGATCATGTTTAATGTGGAAAGCTAATATGCTGTTTTGTCGTACTGTTGTGTTCCAGGTTGTAAATTTAGGGAATCTGACAAATCATTAGACATGTTTGTAGAATTACATTGTATTGGTTTGCTCATCTCTGGGCTCAGCTGCTGTTCATCAAGCCAGGCAGCTAAAACAGACAGTCATAAATTTCAAAAAGGTCTTCTGTTAGCTGATGTCTGAACCAGTGATGGAGACAGTCTGGCTGCAGTCGCTGCCTTGTCAGCAGTAAGCCACAGGTGATTTACTGAGAGTTTTCCTGTCTGCGTTAGGCTCTCGCCTTGAGCCCAAAATCAGCTCTCATTAAATTCTTCCACTGTGAGTAAAGTTTTTTTTTTTAACTAGAGTAGAAAAGAGAAAGAAACAAAAGGGAGTTTAAATGAAAAACAGACCGCTGGGGATGCTTCACAGTTAAAGCCAGCTGGGGCCACTAGAGGGCAATTTTCTGTTAAAGGAGGGAGCACTTCAGAGAACGAGGAGGGGGCGTTTTGATGACGGGCCACAGGGACACTCAAAGAACTCATCTGCTCATAGTATAACTGGCAGCTTGGCAATGCGTTTCCAAAACTTTCCTCGGTTATGATGCTCAGACTTGTCTGTTTATGGTGAAAGTAAGGAATTCATTGAGTTATCCGGGTCAGAAGAGATTCCCTGTGGCATAGTTATATATTTGTGTAGGTCGGGTTTCTTACTTCGATAAATGGCTTGGAAAATTTGTGTGGGAAGAAAGTGTACTAACCAGACAGACAAAAGGCTTCTGGGACTACTTTCATTTGGGACTATTCGTCTCTGCATATTGTTGCATTCCTGTGAAAGCTTCTCTCCAAAATGCCATTAGGGCTTTCAAAAAAAAAGAAAAAAAAAAGGGAAAAGGGTCAAACCGAGTGGAAAAAGTTCCCTGTTGATTATGTTGTGTACATACTTTGCAAGAGAACAGATTTCTGTTGATTCTTTGAGGGGGCCGTGCAGAAATTCAGCCTTTTCATTGATATATTGAGAAAGAAAAATATACAAATACCATAAAATCGCCTGAAATTGAGGTATGTTGCACTTGGCAGCAACAGTACACCATCTGTAGTGTTTCTTTCCCTTTAGAGAGGAGACACACTTTGGACTAAAAGCCATCATACACCGTATGAAGGAAATATGAGTTATCTCCCAGAATGACAGAGGAAGTCTTTATGGGTCAATCAATCAGGGATACCACAATTACCACTTTCAGCATTCATTTGTCTTTGCTAAATAATGTCAGTTTTCACGGGAAAGACTGAAATTAAGCCCTGCTGTTTCCCTATATGTTTCTTGTGGTCAACCGTGTGGGATGTGACAAAAAAACAAAAACAATGGTATTACCAGTACAAACTCTGATTCATAGATGCATTTGTGTGTTTGTGTGTTTTTCAATGCCTTTTGTAAAATGCACATTTCTCTCAGTGCCATTCTGATATCCCCTGGCAAAGATTTGTTTCATATATAGTTGATTTGCATGTTAAAAGACATATTTTCCTACAAAAATAAATCAGAAATGCATATTGAAGGATGTCTCTGCATCTTCTGTCTGTAGCAAAAAAAAAAAAAAAGAAAGTCAGGAAATAAAAGACTTCCCACTCTTGAAAAGTTTAGTATTGTTCTTCTCTTGTTGTCAGCATACGATCTGCGTTTGATTTTGATTGGTGGAGATCAGGGGGTCTCTGCAGTCCTATCAGGAGAATTACAGTCACAGGGGCTGATGTTGTGTCACAGGAAAACCGACGAGATGCCACCTCCGCTCACGTCAGGCGTGTCGTTTTGTTTGTCACTGGTGGTTCACTCAGTGACAGTTGAACTTCAGCTTTGTGACGAGAGAACAAATGAGTCTGTGAGGCATTCAGTGACATTAATGCATGACAGGCTTAATGTTAGTTCCAATTAGCCTCTAAATTAAATTGTCCTTGGTAAAACAATCACTTCAATCCCTCCTCATTGAACAAACAGAAATGTTCAGATTGCATTCAGTGCCTGCAAGGTGTAAGATCTCTGTTTTTTTTTACCCTCTTTATGTCTGTTGTCATTAGCAAGTTGAGGGCCAAACTGCCTGGAGAACCCACATCAGAAAATGGAAATGGAGAGTATGTTTTTATGATTCTCTGTCCCCAGAGAGACTAGCCAGTGGGAATGAGCAGAGTGCTGCAGCTGGATTAACAAGGGGGACGCTGCTGATATGAGTGGAATCCCATGAGCAATGTCTGGAATGGCAACTTGTGGCAGTGGGCTATTTTCTCTATAAAAGAAACAAACAATTAAAATTCTTAATGGCCTCATTAGATGGATGCACTGAGGTCACACAGATGTAATTTTTGAGACATTTAACACATGCTACAATTATGATTCTAGGGACAGCAAAAAGAGTAGGACAAAAAAAAAAAAAAGCTCCATTACTTTCAAGGCTTCTCTGGTTTTTCCCTAACAGCATCACTGAGATGTTTGAATGCTGGTCCATATCCAACAGTGGGATGTTCTTCAGCAGGACATGAAGGAGAGAATTAGAGAAGTGGACAGTGCCTTCATGTAAAAGGTCACATTCAAATGCCATAGGAGTCTAAATAGTACAGCTGCATACAGCTTTCATCAGGTTACAGATTTTTGTAAAAGAAAACGATCAAAACGATTTATTGGAAACGATCTCAATAAATCAGTGGGTCATACGTTGTCTTTTTCCTGAAACAAACAGAACAAACTGTGCCCCAAAACTGGCCAAATGCTGTTAGTAAGTAGAAATACTGCATTCTAAGGACAAATCTTGGCAGGTTTTAGGCACTTAAAGGCTCAAGGACTCTAAATCATGCAAACTGAGTTCTGGGGAAAGTATTTTACCACTTGGAAAGACAAATTCATCTCCAGCCAGTGAAACAACCAAAAGATGTTTTTCTGAGAAATATTTATTCCTCAATTCACATTCCCTCTCGCCTCGTGTTATTCACCGAAGTGGAAACAAAAACCACAGACAATGTACTTTTTTTTTTTCTACAGTTGGCTCATAGAGTCGTCAAGTTTGGTCATCTACAGCTTTTACATTATTTCTCTGGATGACAATTTTTTTTTTTTTTTAAATCACTGGCAACACTTTCAAAATGTCAGCATGAAGGGAAATACACATGGTTGCAAAATATTAACACAAGTCTTGATTCAGATGCAAAAAGCTTATCCAAAGTTATACTTTTCACCCAAAGTGCACAAATGACAATCGCTACCATTAAAGTCACTGATTTAGCATTCATATTTCAAAATACTTGTTTCCATTGGTACCAGCATGTAGAAGTTCACACTCTTTTAGATAGCACCTTTCTTTGCCTGGTTTCTGATGACACAACAGGAAGCACATCGTAAAATTGCTCACCCTAGCAACCTTTATATACAGTATCAGTGTCACTATTCTGTTTGTTTCTATGGCGTCTGCCCCCTGGATGGTTTATATGCTACAGAGACACGACCCCTTCAGGCCCTCTGAGATCTGCTGCTTTTTAAAATCAAGCCTCATCAGTGTTGTTGAGCAGAAACTTTCACAATCAGTACCAGCCTCTTCTTTCACAATCATGTGAAAGAAGTGTGTGAAGACCAAACATTTACCCTCAACAATTTTCTTGTGTATGTGTATGTGTGTATATATATATATATATATATATATTTTGATGTGGTGAAATAGATGATTTAAAAGATTCATCACATTCTGGTGTGCTGCTTTTTAAGTCAGACAATCTTCATGTACAAGAGGTATTTGATTTTCTTCAAATTACATTCAGTTTGTTTTAAAGGTCCCATATTATGCTTTTTCTGGTTTTATATGCTCTTTTGTGTGTTTTCCAAGTGTCCTGTGCATGTTTAGGAACATCTATATGCAAAAATTCAAAGTCCGTGGAAACGCGGCTTCTCCTACGTCCTCCTGTTAGCTGCAGCATTAGCTGCACGTAACACTTGGTTCTAGCCCCCCTCAAAAAAAAATTGTCAGTGTGACGTCTTGTCAGTGTGATATCACTGATCTAAGCCCATTGGCTCGTTGTGGCAAGCCCAGCAGCTCATGTTGCACGGCCATTAACTTCTGTAGCACGCCCACAATATGCCGTGGCCTGCGGTAGCACAGTAGTGCTAAGGTGCTAATGTTTTTGCTCCCTTCGGAGCCAAAGTGGCTGCATTCCCAATATGGTAAAAGGGGCGGGACATTTCCGAACCGTGCTGAGCGACTGACCAATTAAGGCAGAGCGGACAGGCAGACCAATCAGATCCGACTTGGCACACGTGGGGACTCTGAACGTGGGCACTTCAGAGCCTTAGAGAGAGAGTCAGAAGCGAGCCGGTGCATGGAGCGGCAGTACATGAAAACAGACACTTTTTTCAAACTTTAGCTATTGTGAACGTACTTTAGTAGGTACATAGATTAAATATTTGAACCCCAAAAAGGGCCTAATATGGCTTCTTTAAAAGCTTCTGTGGTTGGTTATATGACTTTCCATCATTAACAGGTTAATATAAGGCACTACACTGTAGACCTGGGCATCACAAAGGAGTTCCTTTGGAGCGGAAACACACATGGTAATAAATGCAGTCCGTTTTAGATCCAGCGTTTCTTCAGTCTTGGATTTTCTGCATCAGTCCAAATGTTTCAGTTGCTGTTCAGCTAACTTGGCATCACCAGCCAATCATTGTGTCCATTAATTTAAAATAATATGAAAGACTGCACGAGTGATTTACTTTACCCTGATGGTACAAAGAAGGCACTTTGCTTCTGTTCCGTCAGCAGTCCATTAGTCTACTTTTTTCCTTGTTGACAATCTCCCAGATGAAGCTTGAGAACCCCCTCACTGTGCAACCGCAACAAGAGCTCAAACTCAGCTGGCATGGAGTGGATTCTTTTTTTACTTTCTCTGTTATCATAATAGTGGTGCATTATGTTGTAGAATCCATAGGGGTGACTACTGAAGGGCCAGAACCCATACAGATGCACATTTTCGCAGACCTCCAAAGCTATGCTAGCCATAATTAGCCCGGTGCTCAGCCGCACTGATCGCAAGCCTTGTGCGCGCCAGAAGGCAGTCAGTCTTTGGAGGTACTCAGGGTTAAAGTAGACGGGCCTCATGGGGCTTCCAAAGTCCTCAATACTGTAGGTGGCCCGCAGACATACAGCAGTGTTTTGGCGAAAGGAGAAGGTGGGAAGGAGTAGCAGGGAGTTGCCGTAAATATGCAGACTTTCCACAAACGGACGACGACGCTTCATCAGAGACCCATACCTGGAGACAAAACAGCAGCTATACATCAACAAGACAAAAGAACTCTGTAATGACATTGAAGTGAAATCCAGCCTCTTGCTCACTTCTCCATGAGGATGCTTGGGTTCGCTGTCACGAGGTCCGTTTTGACACCGACATGCTTCTCATAACCATTTCCCAAAGGAGGAAGGTTGCACCTGAAGCAGCAAGAAAAAAAAAAAAAGTCAGAGATCTTTTTTGTGGAACTTCAACATAAATGATTTTTGATACTGTAAGTTGACGTTGTCACCACAGTGGACACCTTTCCTCACCTCATGACAAACTGAGCTGAATCAATTCTCTCTCCACAGCTGCTGTCAGTCAGGATTCCTCCGTTCCCGACAACAGCACACGTGTCCCATGTTTTATTTGAGAAAGGATGCTCCTGGAATTTGTAATCAATGGTTATGTGTTACCACACAATGATAATTATACTGATGGTATAATACAGTAGATCAAAATTACTGCTGGATCTCATTTGCAAATGTTTCCCTCTTGGAATTTCCCTGCAGCAGACGCCCCTAAAAGAGGCTGCCAGCTGAAATATGGGTGCCCCCTGGAAGTCTTCAGGTTTTCATTTCCAACATCTACTTGGGCTTGAAACATTTTTTTGATGAATAAATTCAGCAGTATATCACTTTGTTGTGAAGCATACTGGCAGCTTTAAACTTGCTGATGACACAGTTGTTAATTTGTGTTGTGAAAACATGCTGCAAGCGGTTACGGGAACATTTCCTAACATTTGGATTGAAAAGCAAAATCCCCACTTCCAATTTAGTTGTGGAAAGAGTTGAGTTACAAATACCTCATACATTTTCACTTCATTTAAAAATACATTAGTGTATTATTTTGTGTAAGAAAATCAGATGGAGTCATGTAGATTCATAGTTAAATTATTGTTCTAAAGTCTGCTCGGTTGTCAACCTGTTTCCAGTTGCAGCATAACAAAGTACACATTGTTTGATTTTGTTTCAGCAACTAGCAATAATAAACTGGATCCCTCAATTTTTTTTATACAACACGAGCACAACAACATCCAGCGTGTCCAGAGCCATGCACCGAGGCGAGTAAGAAAGCTTAAGTTAAGAGCTGATTAGTGTCACTTCCACCAGTTGCAACAGTTAGCCACGCGGCTAGCGAGCAGATTTCCACTTAAGGGGCAGAGCTGCTCATGGCAGTGGGGTTGCTCAGGTGTTGCTGTGTGCAGAAAAACGTATAAATTGCAAGCAGTAGTTAATATTTGCATGTGTGAAATAATATAATTATCTCACAATTGTAGTTATCACTCAGGACTTTTGATGTAAATGAAACCCATATGTATGGGTACTCTGTTCCAAACACAACTTTCTAACTATACGGTTCAGGTTTGTCAAACTGCTTGTATTTTTATTGTTATTATTAGTCTCTTTTTGTCTTTATTTTTGTGTAAATATTACTTGTGTAAACATGCTAAGAGTATGCCAAGTTGTTTTTTGCATTTCATTAAATTAACGTGGAATCTTTTAGTCAGACATTACAGGAACAATCACAATGCCAAACAAGTAGCAGATATTGTCGATGTGTTGGTTGTATTCATGAGTGACCAAACAAAATACCTTTGTAAAGGTGTTGAAAACCTCCAGAGACACCTGGAGGCTCCTCTTCTTTTCCCCATCATAAACGAGATTGGATAACACCGGAGTGTTGGCCTGGGTAATGATGGCTTTGTCAAAACCATTGCAGTTGCTGTTCAGCTGAGATCTGGGGAACCACAAGGACTTCATTAAACCATATACCAAGAGACTGAGGTTTTGATGTTCCCTCAAATGTTCTTGTCGTTTTTTTTAAAGGAGCAAATCAACGTCACGCTTGTTTCGAGTAGAGTCCTCTCTGTTTTACCAACACTTACAGGATTTTAATGTGTGTTATATTTAGACCAGGTGTTTAACATTTACATGGAAGTTGCTCAACTTGAGTACACATTTATTTTCACTTCTCTTTCCCACTTCTTCAGCTGTTCTTCTTTCTATTCATGGAAAGAGGAAACTATTCTGATCCTGCACATATTCTGATTTTGTTCAAACATTCAATGTTTACAGTTTAAGGTCATGAATCACATTTATTTTCCAAGGACAGGCTTAATAGGATGACTTCCAGTTTCAGCTATTTGTGACAATCAGGCGAGGGCACTCTGACTCATCTATTCCGAGCTTGTCCTAGAGTAAAACATTCAGAGACTAAAGTCTTTTTTAGCCATTCAAATGATTTGGTAATAGCTTTACCTTGATACCTCTTCTCTCTTTACTTAACCAGTTAGTAAAGTTACATATAGTAAAAGCCCAAGCTGGGATTTTAGAAGACTGTACATCTAGCTCCCCTCTTTCTCATAGGAATTGACAAACTCTCATTCTGTGGAGGAACATTTGATGGTCCTTATTTGAGCCATGTTGTAGATTTTGGGCTCCTTTTTATATCACAATGCAAATGGTCTCAGCTGTAACCAAGTTGTGTTTGTTGATCTGCACAGGCAGACTCAGGTTTTCTGAGGGGCATGGATAAAAATAAGTAGAAAAAAATAATAAAAAAAAAAGGCACCAGCTGCATGCTGTTGGGCACCAAAACCCAAAAGTTGTGTTGCATTTTTTTTTTTTGGAACAGGCCCAAACACTGGTAATGGTTTAAATAGTTCTATTACGTAATTCATGTTTCATACTGTTTAACCTTTTAATCACATTTGGCCATCTCATTAGGCACTGTGTTAGGTTTTATTGGTCGTGAGAGCTTCCCACTGGGCTTTTTTTGACCTCCTTTACCACCCAGCATCATGTAACTTAAAAGTATGTAATTCTTAACTATTGAATACTTATTGTAAATGTCTGTAGAGCACAGCAGCTATGGGGACTGGAGATGTAGCATACCATGCTCGTTTCATTTCCCAAATTTTATTTTTATTTTTTCCCCTTAAAGTTCAAAACCAAGACAATCATCGTCTTTTTTACCTGAATTTTTTACATTTGTCCTCCTGCTTCGTCCAGGGTTGAGAGTAACCCTGCATTACTTTTTTGATGATATTCCTGTGGAAAAAAAAAAAAAAAACATACAAACTAAGATACACATACACAACCAGGTGAGTAATCCCCAGCATGTCATCTGATGGCAGTCATGAACAAAAAAAAAAAAAAAAAAAGGTCATATTAGGAGAAACAGTGGTTGCGCTCACTTGCAGCCTTTGCAGAGGTCAGAGGTCTTGGGGGCGCTTTTCTTCTGAGGGGCTGGTAAGCGCTGGTCCACATTGCTGTTGAACAAACAAAAGAAAAAGAAAAAAAAAAAAAGGACAGATGTGTTGATTCAGAAGCCAGGGACAAATCAGATAATGTAATCAGGGGCGTGACACAACATTCTGGACCCTGCATATAGACTATGCCATGAACCACTCCCCACATTTACAGCTATTAATAGTTACTTTGTGGACAGACCCTCCTCACAAAGATAGCCAACAGAAAGAAAATCTATACACCCCTAAAACCCAAAAGCTCACACAGGCCAACATGTTAGCGTTATAACTTGTTTTCATCACTTGAGAACAAAAAAAACCCGTTTTTAATGTGCTTTGTTCAAAACATACAGAAGACATAATAAAATCAGCATTTAACAAAAAGAGTTGATGCGATTCTGTAGAAATGTCAAACTCCCAACAAACGCCAAAGCGAACGGAGTACAAGCCTCATGAATTCAAGTGTTCAGTAACTGTCAGCTTCATAACACCATGAATGAACAACCAGTATACAAACTCTTGAGCAGAGACCTTTGCTACGTAGCTACATGTCAAATGCAGAAATCTCTCTCTCTCGTGTGTAGAAAGAAAGCGGTGTTGCTTCACAGCGATCATCATCGTCTGTTCCCGATTTCAACTCATTAAAAAATAATCTGTTTGGTCTACTTCCTACAAAACCCACGGCCACATGAACGATTGCGACTGACTGCTAAAGTGTTTCCAGCTAAATACCCTGTCACGCAGCCTAATTGGGGAAATTGCGTCACTTCCAATAAGTGGCATTACCACGGCATCATTGTAACACTGAAAAATAAAGTGTATTAGGCTATTCTGTAGCGGCATTGTTCTATTTATTTATTTTTGTTACAATGTAGGCCTACTTGATCGAGTGATGTTTCAGCAGCTTCATTTGACAATCTTCTTTCGTTTTATCACACACACACACACACACACACGTGGTGCCTAATTGGATATTGGAGGAGAAGGAAGAAAAAAAAGGATTCAAAGGCTACTTGCATTTTAGTAGTAGGTTATGGAGTAGACTAGGAGCAGAAAACAATTAAAACAACATATCAGCGTTGTGGTTTAGCAGTCTACCTTTAAACGTTTAAGTGTTGGTGTGAGTGTGCATGTAGCAAAGGGAAATGACATTTTCACACTTACTTGTCGAGTAAGTACCAGACGGCAGAGGTCAGCAGGCTCCCCAAACACAGGAGCGTTATCACCAGAGAGAAGAGTGACTTGAGCTGTCCCCTCATACCTCTCTCTCCCCTCCGGTCTAACGTCACCTCGCCAGCCCTCCTTCACCTCCCGTCTCGAACCCAGCCGTTATCTGCCCTCTGTCACCTTGACTTTGTCTTTCTCTGGTTTCCTCCCTCCTTTTCTTTTGTGTCAAAAGTTTTCCTCGTGGGCTTTCATAAGTTTGCTTTTTTAGCCCCCACCCACCACACCACACCACACACCTTCTCCTCTTCCTCCGCTAACTCTGTCTGTCTGTGTCTGTCTGTCAGTGTGTCGACTTCAGCTCAAGAAGCACCTTTCACACATAACGGAAGTCCTCAAAGTTTCCTTACATTGTCCGGATGGGGTGCATGTGTCAAGGGGATAAGGGCAGAATCTGTTCACCCCGACTTTAGGCGGACTTTCCCCCCCGGTGAAGCGTCCGGTGAAGTCGGGGTGAGAGGATGTGTGGAGGAAGCTTGCAGGTAACTTTTCTGACGGTTTTTGCCGAGTGGGCGGGGTTATGACGTCGTTCACGTTGAGCAGGAGTTTCTGCTGAGTTTCTCTACCAACCTCTTCACTCAGTTTTCTTGGGGTTTTTTTTTTGCTCTCCTGTTCAGACAAGTCATCTACTCGTCTAGTGCTCTTCTTTCCTTTCTCTCTTCCTGCTTATGTCCCGGCCAGCTGCTGTCCCACTTTTGTTCTTCAATCCTTGTCTTGTCTCTCTCTTCTCGGTGTCGCCTTCTTTTTTCACTCAGATGTCCACACAGCAAAAATACTACTTTTTCACTGAAAGTCCTAAAAGCTACAGCTCCTTCTCTTCTTTCTCCGCCCCCGCCTGTCCGGAGCCCCAGCCTTTTTTTTTTCCCCCTGTTATTTGCCCTCCCTCCCCCCGCCTATCCTCCGCCCACACCCCTTAAACCCCTCTCCCCTTTGCAAAGTAACATGAGTGCCCAGTACTGAATTAGCCCACAGTTTGCCTCTTGACTAGTGTGTGTGTGTGTGCGCGTGTGTTTTGAGAAACAAGTTCAAAACCAATGAGGGGAAGGGCAGAGACTTCCCAACCAATCAGAGTGACTCCCCAAACTGTGCAGCACATGCACAAGCTGCTTGTACTCCAGTGTCACAGTTTGCCAGCTCTGTCAACTCCTGTAAGTATCCTCTTACAATAAAAGTGAGAGAGTTTTAGAGATGGGAGAGGGTAGGCGGTGTTCTTGGGGCCCAGGGAAGGGAAATCTGCTTCTACAGGGTATAACCAGTAAGGCATAAATAAGAAAAAGGGGGGGGGGTAGACAGAAAGACAATAAGCAGTCATAGAGCCACAACTCATCTGCAGTTCTTCTTTCACTTTATGTGGTTATTACATGTAAAATATAATGGCCATGTGGGTTTCATTTCACAGTAAAAAAAAAAAAAAAACGCCCACAAACAGAAAACCACACCCCATCCTACTGCATTTACCCCTCATGATTTGAGTTTCCAGTGGAAAACTCCACGCTGAGCTCTTTGCAATGAAGTAATTATGGCTAGTATAGCTAGATGCTGAGTAAGCTGAGCTCTGCAACACAGCAGCCCCCCCCCCCCACAACCGCCCCATGTGCACAAATCCAAAACAAAGGAGCTCTTGGAAAGTTTTGATTTTGGCAGACGTCAGGGTTTGCCCCCAAGGAAACCTGTTGGGGTTGTTTGAGGCTGCTTTGCTGTGGCCAGACGCAGACGTGGGCAAAATCAATACAGTAGGTTGTGCAAGTAATAAAACCAGGCTTAAACGTCCGATAGAGTAAAAGAGGGCCGTTAGGAAAATAAAATCTCACTTAACCTGGTTTTTACCTCAAGCCGACTTTCATGCATTGGTTCATTGACCTATAAGTGGATCTGTAGAGTGCAATGAGCAGCTCGGCTTTGCAAAGAGAATGTGTGCTATGAAATAAACGATAGTTCAAGTTTATTCGCCATTATGTAAAAGCAGTGTTCCCTAAATAACTGTGCCATCTGGGTTTTGCATATTTTCTGATCTCTGACCTTTTCTAAGAGAGATCCTTCCTCTGATGCTATCCCTGAGATTTTGCCCAGTTTTTCCCTCAAAGGTTTTTTAGGGGAACATCAGGGGTCCGAGGATAACGGTCAAGGGATATGCACTGAGGCGGATTTATGAATAAATTAGGGCAAAAGAATATATCTGACTTACTTTCTAGAGTGGAAACAACAGGCAAACCACGCTCCTTTGTTTTCCCCCGGATGTGTCATGATCACACGATGGATTAAAAAAAAAAAAAAAAAAAAACTCAACCCCCCGAGAGCCATGCCTCTGGAGAAAATATACCCATGTCTGACCTTTCATCATGAGACACTAGCAGGAATGTTGAGACATACACATGGAAGAAAAACAGTGCTCTCAAAGATTGGGAACTCTGTAATTATAACATGGCTGTGAAATGGAGCCACTGCCCAGCAATAACTGCAGTGTATCATCGAGGAAGTACAGAGACACACACCTGGCTCTCCTGGAGCTCTGTTAGATCAAATATCCAGACCTCCAGACTCGTGTGGTTTCAGACTTACACACTCATTGTCTTTTTAAATAAATGTCATTGCCATAGCTACATAACAGCTGAAAAAGTGTTTTTTTTTTTCAACATGATGTTCATATTCTCCGGGCAGAGTTCTCAGTATTGTGTAGCTCTTGGATGTCCTTCGTCTCTTTTACCTAGCATGCATGAATCACTTCACACATATAATCTCACTCATGGATGACTATGTAACTAGGAACTATCTTTTTATGACGTTATTCAGAGAGGGGAAGAGTCAAAGCAAAAATGACACATTTATTCTGCAGTTATTTTCCATACCAGGGAGGATAAGAGGATGTCTGTGTGTCTGAAGTTGCTGTACTGTTCTTATTTGTTTGCAGTGTTCTGAGGAAGTGCGTGTGTGCGAGTGTGTGTTTCCCAGCTGACCTTCCACAGATGCTCTTGACAGGAAGCCTGAACACAGCATGCTTCAGGGTGGCATGCAATAAAGGAGGAGGAGATGAGAACTTCCTCTTTAGGAGCCCATGTGACATCACCTCAAGGCTGACGGACTGACAAAAAGTCTCATTGTTAACCAAACAGCACCTAAGAAAACCGCCCTCCCCCTCGAAGACTTGTATCTTTAGCAGACATGAACCGTCCATGAAGTTCACACACGAGAGACAGGATGTGAAAGCAGGCCAGCTTTCACGTCAGTGTTGGGTGGTTCCCCTGAACGCACCCTGAGCTTGCAGTCAGACTTCTTTTTTTGTATGTTGTAGTTTTTTCATGCAAATCATGACAAAAAGAGCAGATACAGACAGGAAACACGTCCTGTTAAAGTCAATCTATGTTTCTTAATAAAGTAATATAACCTCTGTTTCTGACTGTGTTTTCTGACATGTTGACTTTCAGTAAGGCCTGATAGTAAGCTCCTATCATGATTTTAGCATGGTTCGATAGAGCTGTTGCTTACTGACGATATGAATCACAGACAAAATGTACTAATTTGACTATCTGTAACAGTGCAAACAGATGAGGTAAGATGATACAAAGTTTATATGTGGATATCTTTTTCAGCCTGCAAGAGGCTGAGGAATAAAAATAGCTCACGTCTGGAAATAGATTATGATGCAGCAACAGCTTGAGCAAATTGATGTGGCTTTTCCAAAATAATCAAGGCATCAAGAATGCAAATCATACGGAAAAAAGCAATAGAGATTCACCATTCCCGCGGTGATGTCTCCTCATCACACGAGAACACAGTCCAAAAAAATGTAGCTTTCGTAGGTAAAACGGTTCCATGACCTCCATGTTAATACATATATTTCTTGTCATATGTTCAAATAACAACACACAACTAACTTATTTCTCTTTTATTACTCTTCCTGTAATCAGCTTCATGTTGGATAACTTTATCTTTCCTTTGAATTATTTTCAAATAATGTAAAACCTTGATATCAACGGCCAAACTACGATCAGTGCCCATTTTCATGGTTTCTCTACTTGGGGTTGTGGATCAAGGGAGCCATAGCGGTATGTGTCAAGGATTTGTTTTCATACTTTATTCAAGTTTTCATTTTGTCTCTTGCTGTTTCTTGTTTCTTGTTAATGATTGCACACTCTGACCTCTTCAGGCCCATAAAATTACAGACAATTTGCAAAATAGGGAAACATTCACTTGGAGCTGAGATGATTGGCCATTTTGTAAGATGACAATAAACTCTGCTTGTGCTTCCGATGTGGGAATATTTGATGTGTTTTTTTTTTTGTTTTTTTTTTGCAGCTATGTATCTTCATTCAAAAACTAAAAACAGACAACTGAAATAAAGTGACCAAAACATTCAAGATGATAATAATTACAAGCTCCATTCCCACCAATATTCTTCAGCCTCTTTAAATCCATAACCATGTGTTGATCAACCCATGACCACAGATGAGGCTTAACCCCTTAACCTTAAGACATTATATGTGACTCCGACTGTGTTGTGCATTTTTAACGGCCCCTCATTAGCACATCTGATGAGGCTTGGCTGAAAGCTTCTTGGTCTCAGGAGATCTGTAATCTGGGACCTTTGAGTCACCTGATGGAGTCATTTTAGAAAGACTTTCTCCAGCTATGGACCCTGATACTGCCATCTTCACCCTCTACATACAACACCTGCAGTGGCTGTGACAGGCGAACAGCTCCACAGCGAGGTGTGATGGAAGAAGTGGGCCGGGTGAGGGCAGTGATTCAGTCAGGTGGTTTAAGAGCGGCTGATCCTGATGCATTCCACAGCTGCTTATCATGAGGCCTGGTGCCCCGGTGCCTGTCTGAACTCTTACTACCTTGCAGGTCTCACAGGCAACAAACACAACCGAAACTGAAAAATGACGTCAACACACAAGCACAAACCTGCAGACGACACTCATTTATATTGTTTGAACACACTCACTCAGGGGGCTCATGCATAATTTACACATCCTGCAGAGTCTTTAATGGACATGACAGACCCTTGTATTACCAATTGATCCCTAATGTTCTGACTTCAGGGGATCATTGTTGAACATGTGTCATGCACTAACAAAATTATTATGGCTTTTTTTCTATTTTTTTCAGTCTAAAAAAAAAAAGCCTTCATATGCTTTTAAATTTCCCCTGAAGATCAATACGGTTTAGTTTTATCTTAAGCTACATAAAACATGTTTATGTATTTGTTTGATATATATTTGTCATCAATCTGAATCTACAAAGTCATGAAAGTTATCCAATGGATGTAGTGCAGTTATTTTATTCTGAAGGAAAGAGAAAGTAACGTGAAAAAAAAAAATAATTTAAAAAAATGGAAGAACTAAAGTAAACTGTACTCATGAAAATGCCCTGCTAAAAACAAAGGTGGCAGTACTTAAAGGAGAAATGTGTTGCTCCATATCACACGTTTCTTTTGTTTTCAATTATTACAATGCTTCTTAAAGATTTATTTTTTGGGCTTTCTGTGCCTTTACTGGAGAGATAGGACAGTGGATAGAGATAGAAATCAGGGACCTTAATGTACGTCACACTTTAATCAATTCAATAAAGTAGGAGCTGTTTGTGCATATAAGAGGGATAAATGCACAAGATTTGTTTTAAAAAAAATCTGGTTTATGATTCATCTGGTCTCAACAGGACCAGGAAACTGTTTAGTATAAGATGTCAATGTGACCTCAAATAATTCACTTTTACCGAATGATCCATTTTGAGCCTTTGTTTTTTTTTTTTCAATATCTCACTTTAGCTACAACCACTAGATGGCATCAAACCTTTCCAGACACAGATCTTCGACACAGATTTAATATTTCAATTTAGCAAAAAAAAACAAAAAACA